AAATCCTCCAGCATCATTGAAGTCTCCGGTTTGGGAACATTTTGGTTTCGCAGTTACGTACAAGGATGACGGACAAAGACAGGTGGACCGAACCAAAGCTGTTTGTCGGCATTGTTCAACTAACATTGGTTACGCGGCTGGCAATACATCACACTCATTTGAAAAGGCATCACCCGAATGTGAATATCACCGGTACCAAAAGAAAAAAGACTGAAGTGCAAACCCAACTCCCACTAGCATTTAAGCCTCCACCACTCGCAAAGAGTTCAGACCGAGCCAAAGCTATTACAAACGCCAAATATCCTTATGTTGCCATGTTAGCAAAGCGCTACCTGGCTGTATCTGCTGCCACTGTCCCTAGAGAGGGTGTTATCCACAGCAGGAGACATTGTTATTGCCAGCAGATCTGCCCTTTCAGCAAGCAATGTGGACAAGTTAATCTTTCTTTAAACAACATGAAAATACAATGACAAGCAAGTCCTAATGTCAAGCTGGCTGCTTAGGTACTAGTACAGTTCAAATACAGATTATTTCAGTTCATCGAAATGCTGCACCTTAATGTTTATTTTACTATATTTTGTATTTATTTGAATACATTAGTCACAGTTTAATAATAATTAAAAAAATATATTTAATGTTTTGTGATAATTTTTTCTGCTATACCGAAAACGTACCGAACCGAACCGTGACCTAAAAACTGAGGTATGTACCGAACCGAAATGTTTGTGAACCGTTACACCCCTACAATCAATGTTAACTTGGAAAGCCACAATATTAATATTTTAACTCAATCACATAGGTGATATTATTGTGGCACATCAGTAAAGCCTTACAAGGTGGCAGACGTAATTTAATGAATTTTAACTGAACAATAACTGAATGAGTTTGTTTCACTCTTAGACCAGCAGGGGTACCAAATCTATGCAGACTGCTGCAATAAGTACATTAATTAACTGTCTCATTGATGTTTGTCTGAATGAATATGATACTATTAACAATCATATTATTCCTATCAGCTGTCAATCACTGTTAATAAATAATAATAATAATAGATTTAATTTGTTAGTGTTTTTGCAGGTGCTCAAAGACGCTTTACAGATATAGTGAAGAACTGTTATAATTCACATATTCATTTATTATTGAATAAACTATATTTTTTGGAGGAGTTAATGATGAATGTTCATCAAGATGCTTGCTCACCCTCCTTCAAATTTGAAAAACAAGTAATTATATCATTATTGATATACAGTTACAACCTTGACTTTACATCAGAAAGAACAAACATTAAAGAAGTGACTAACTGCATCAGTTAGGGTTACAAAACGTGTATTCAGCTAAAACATCGCTGCAGTTATTATCCAGTGGAAGGTGTTAAATCAAAGTGGTTACTTTCTGTTGGCTGGGCAGTGTAGTTTTACACACCGTCTTATTTTACTTTCTCAAGACTTAAAACTGTTTTTTGGTGGCAGACCCCCTCAAAGAAAAACAAATATATACACGCATACAAGGTCATCATCTTAACAGTTTGTTATTCTCATCGAGTCATCCGTGAGCAGAGCATCAAGTTGGCATGTCTATTACAGCTGAATGCGGCGATTACTATTTTGTTCAGCAAAACGCCTCACAAACGTATTAAGATCAACAGCTGTAGTGCGTTTTGATTCCATGCTGAGTACAGCCAAACTGACAGTCTCTTCTCTGTCATTGTAGACCGCAAATACCTCATTCCTTCAGTGCTTGGGTCCGAAAGGCTTCTCGTTTTGCGCCGTCCCCCCGTTCAAGTGAATTCGCCACCAATCATATTTCCACTCTCGCGCCAGGACCGGGGGAGGGGTTACATGACGTGCATATTGTGCTGCATTCACTTGCACTCGGACATTAGAGACTTTCTCTCATAAATGTCCGATGAGCCACAACTTTTCTTTCAAAACAAAGATGCCAACTGGGGTGGCAGCTGGGGTGGCAAGGCTATTGTTTAGGGTGGCAGTTGCCACCCCATGCCACCCCGGTAGATCCGCCCCTGGTCCAGAGACAGTTGTTATTCGGTCCGGATCCGGACCAGAGTCCGGACTTTGACGATGCCTGTCCTAACCTATCAGGCTCTCCTCTCCTCTTTCTCTGCTTCGATCTCTCAGGCAAAAAGCACTTTCTTTCAAGATAAGATCTAATCCTCCTATTCCAATCCCAAAAAACTATTTTCCATCTTCTCCACGCTCTTGGACCCCCCCCAAAGCCCCTTCCCCCTCCTCCCTTCTGTCAAGCGACTTTGTTAACCACTTTGAAAAAAAGGTTGATGATATTCGCTCTTCTTTTTCTGACTCACCTCTACTCACCGCTGGGTCACCAGACCCACCTTTCACCCACACATAACCTCCTTTTCCCCTCTCTCTCCAAGTGAGGTTCTTACCCTCATTACCTCTGCCCGCCCTACCACCTGTCCTCTGGACCCTATCCCCTCAAACCTCCTTCAGACTATCGCTCCTGATATTCTACCGTTTCTCTCCCATTTAATCAACATTTCTCTAACTTCTGGTAATTTTCCAAACAGTCTCAAGGAGGCAAGAGTAAACCCTCTCCTAAAGAAACCCACTCTCAACCCGTCCGATGTTATAAACTACTGGCCTGTCTCTCTCCTCCGATTCCTGTCTAAAACACTTGAACGCGCTGTCTTTAAACAACTCCCCTGTTATCTCCATCAGAACAACCTTCTGGATCCGCACCAGTCTGGTTTCAAGGCAGGTCACTCCACAGAAACTGCCCTCCTTGCTGTCACTGAGGAACTGCACACGGCTAAAGCAGCCTCCCTCTCCTCTGTCATCATCATTTTGGACCTGTCTGCTGCATTCGACACGGTGAATCATCAGATCCTCCTTCGCACACTCCAAGAACTTGGAGTTTCAGGCTCTGCACTTTCCCTCATCAACTCATACCTCAAAGACCGCACCTACAGGGTTACTTGGAGAGGGTCGGAGTCCGACCCTTGTCAATTAACTACAGGGGTCCCTCAGGGCTCTGTTCTTGGTCCCCTCCTCTTCTCCTTGTACACAAACTCGCTCGGATCTGTCATTAGCCCGCATGGTTTTTCATACCACTGCTACGCTGACGACACCCAATTAATTCTGTCCTTTCCCCGCTCAGAGACCCAGGTCGTCGCACGCATCTCTGCTTGTCTAGCTGACATCTCTCAGTGGATGTCTGCTCACCACCTCAAGCTCAACCTTGACAAGACTGAACTGCTTTTCCTTCCAGGAAAAGATTGTCCCACTCTTGGCCTAACAATCAACATCGGCACCTCTGTTGTTTCCCCGACTCAGACTGCAAGGAATCTGGGTGTGATCCTAGATAACAACCTGTCCTTCACTGCAAACATCGCTGCTACAACCCGCTGCTGCAGATACACGCTTTACATCATCAGGAGGATACGTCCCCAGCTGACCCAGAAAGCGACGCAGGTTCTGGTCCAGACTCTCGTCATCTCACTTCTAGACTACTGCAACTCCCTCCTGGCTGGTCTACCTGCATGTGCCATCCGACCTCTGCAGCTCATCCAGAATGCAGCGGCTCGTCTGGTCTTCAACCTTCCTAAATTCTCCCACACCACGCCGCTCCTCCGCTCCCTTCACTGGCTTCCGGTAACTGCTAGAATCCATTTCAAGACAATGGTACTTGCGTACCATGCTGCGAATGGATCTGGCCCGTCCTACATCTAGGACATGGTTAAACCGTACACCCCAGCACGTGCACTCCGCTCTGCATCAACCAAACAGCTCGCTGCACCCTCGCTGCGAGGGGGACCCAAGTTCCCATCAGCAAAAACACGTGGGTTTGCTATCCTGGCTCCAAAATGGTGGAATGAGCTCCCCATTGACATCAGGACAGCAGATAGCTTACACACCTTCCGGCACAGATTGAAAACTCATCTCTTTCGACTCCACTTCGAGCGATAGAACTATTAACTAAGCACTAATAAAGGACCTAAAGCCAGTTGAGTAGCACTTGAAATGTTTTTGCTCTATGAAAGCTGATGTACTTATATGATTCTGTTTTCTTCAAGTTTGTATTTTGTTGGTCGAACGCACTTATTGTAAGTCGCTTCGGATAAAAGCGTCAGCTAAATGCAATGTAATGTAATGTAATGTAATCATCAATCAGATCATCGATCATATAATATCATAATATATGCAGTGCAACACTTACATTGTCACATACTGTTGACATTAGGTTGACGAAACACTCAACTCAAATGTAATTGAAGTCAGATCCACTCGTGTCTTAGATGGGGCAGTGATATCACAAACCTGTTACGCTTTCAAACACTCGGTAGTTTATTTATTTTTTAACCAGTTGTTCTATATTCACCTTGCAGGTGCAACTATGTGCTGTATCCTAGATTATATGTTGAAGTCATGGATGTTTAAAGTTCATATTTGTCTAATATTAGTTTACTAACGCTGCGCTGTCAATACACTTGTCCCCTTTTGTGATTGGTCAAATGTAGCTAACCCCGCCCCTTTCACGTGAACGCGCTCTCAGCTGGAGAGAGAAACCGCATTTACCGAGTTGATAACCCGCGTCGTAGGACCGCTTAGCGAGGTCTCATTTGTTAGGGTTAACTCACACATATCCAGGGTCTGTTGAACTGGCTTCGTAGAACAGGGCACAGGTGGCTGCAGAGCAGCGCTAATGTCAAAGACACAAACATTATACATTATATTTTTATTTTACCAGGATGCGACAAAAATATTAGGGAAGGCTTAGCCTTCCCCAGCCTACAGTACCCGCCGCCCCTGGTTGGAGGAGGAATTAGAAAGCTCGGGAGATGGAAGAGGTTTGCTATGGATGGCATGTATGCATGTGGGATAAAAGTATTGTTACAAATATTTATTTTGACTTAGTTTATTGCTTGTTTGATAATTAAAAAAGAAAACATAGTAAAGAGTCATTATAAAAAAACAGATGCTTATGTTGGTTTGACTTGGCTATTATTTTGAAAGGAAACCGGAAGTCCACGTCCAATCACTGGCAGTCGCAGAAGGTGCACTTCCAGCGGCGGAGATTCTGGACGGAGGCGACGAGTGCCTGTAAAAAACAGTCAATACCTCGAAGAATATCAACCATGTCTGCTGCTTTCTACGTTTGCTTTCTCCTTTGGTTCATCCAGACCAACACAGGTAAGTTAGTTTTCTGTTTAACGTTCGTCATTGAGTTTCCCCTCACACGTTACCTGTTAGCTCATTTGGCAGTGGCCGTGGTGGCTAATGCTACATGTTAATTTATCTAAAACACACGGTTTTAAACACACTTAGCTAAACTGTGTTACAGGCCTAACGTTAGCTCTTAGCTTTTCATAACGTTACTTGATGTATTGGAGATCTAAACGTATTAAGGAACGTCCACTTTGGCCTTGTCTTAGCCTGTTGTTTTCGGTTTCTAGCTAAATTAAAGATGGGCACATGTATTTCTGTTAGCGAGTCGCACAGTAATACATGTTACAACTGCAAGATGATACATGCTCACATTTAAGCTAGAGGTGCTGAAGTGGTTTGTCTGAAATGCTCAGATAATCAGAAAGTGCTTCTGTGCAATGACAGGCAATGTCGGTGCTTCCTGTCAATAACAATGATGCTAGATGGTTACAAGTAGAAACAAAGGTTTAACATGCTTCAGTTTAGACAATATGAGCAGTACAAATAAGTTCACTCAAACGGTGCAATCTAAGATCAATCAACATGTTATGGATCATGTACAAGGTGAATATGCTGTTTTCATTTCATAGCAGGGCCGGTTTATTTATACAGCACATTCCAACACTAAGCATTGCAAAGTGCTGTACAAAAGAACATTACAAGCAACAATTATATTGCAACAGAAATTCATTTTAAAGTGAAACTTAAATACATTTAAAACAGAAATTATATATTTTGTAAGCCTTGTTTTAATCGAAGTTATAGTTGTAGCACACCTGCAGTTTTCTGGTAGATTCTGTGTAATTGTTTTATTTGCAGTATAATACCTGACCTCTTCTCCACGCTTAGTTTTGACTGGGAACAAAAAGCAGAAGACCTGACACTTCTGCATGGTTCATGTTGTAGCAGAAGACCAGCCTTGTGTGTTGGATAACACAATCCCTCTCACACACTTCCTGCCCTGAAGCACAGAGAAACCTGCTTGTGATGTTTGGCCTCTACCATCCACTGTAGTCAGCTCCTAGTTTCTGAACCGCCTGTACATTTGTTCCTCAGTACAAATGAGGCCATGATTAAAGTTATTCAAAGCATACAATTACTTACACTCCGATTATCAAAATAGTATAGTAGGGCTGCCCTTGACCAAATATTGTCCTACCAATAGTCTTCAGTTCAATAAATGAGTTGGCTAGTCATCGCACTTTTATGATGATTCATTGTATTTATTTTTGGCTTCAGGAAATGGCTTTAGTTCCAGTGCATAGAAAGAACGTTATGGGTAACATCATGGTACGTTGGGCTACATATCAAATACAACTGTAATAATGAGGCTTATAAATATATACTATGATGAATGGTGCTGGTAAAGATTCTTCCATTTTGTTCATGTATTCTGTCAACAACAACAGACACACGCCCAAAACGAAACCACTCTTGGACATAAATGACTTTTGACCAGGCGCAGCTCCAGGAAAAAGTCAGAGGGGGTTTTCTGCCCGATGCGACAATGCAGTGCCCAGAAGGAGTTTCATTTGTATTTAACTTATGCAAATAATAGACTAATGAAAAATTGCTCGACTAACACTTTTTGAGCCGACTAAAGTTTGGTCCACTAATGGGGAACATTCTTAATAAATAGAGGCAGATTTTGTGAAAGCATGTAAACATAACCTTTTGACATACAGTGTCCACTTGTTAGAGGAGGACGGGCCACATATTGCAATAAAGGTGTAAATGCAAATAGATGTTACAGTAAGTCTGTTTTAGTGTAGAGAACATGTGATCTTAAAAAGCTTGTTTTGAAGCTTTTGATGCTTTCTGTTCCTTTTTGAAAGGAGTGGAATTTTCTCAAATCCCTGGCCAAGCTCTGCATGTCCTTGGAATACAAATCATTTAGCAGCGATAAGATCTAGCCTTTGTTTGTGTGTTTGTTGGCTAAGTAGAGCTTTCCTTTTCCTTCCACTCAGAGGAAGTTATTTATAAAAGGCCCAGTTCACAACATCGGATATTTATTTTTTATAGAAGAGTGCCTCTGTAAACCAGCTCCTACAGAGAGTGTTGCATTGTGGGTTGTTTACACTCTTATTGTTGCGAGCAAATGTCAAGTCCGGTTTTTGTCTTTATTTTTAATTCAGCCCTAAAGTCTTTAGATATAGAAAGCAAGGCTCTCAGGATAAGGACTCTCTTTTCCTCAGATTCATTGTATCTCGGGGAAGTGTGCTGTACAAAATATTCTTCCAAACCTGATGTTCAAAAGCCAGTGAAATGATCAGAGCTAATACAATATTCAAAGTGTATTTCAGTCAGACAACTTACGTGTTTCTTAATATGTTTATTATAGCAGCATATAGTTTGAGTTTGGCGTCTAGGCGCGGGCCTCATCACTCCACAGATGTACAAAGAACATTGAGTGATGATTAGATTACTATCCCCCGAGCCTACAGGTGGAAGCTGGGGTGGTGGGGGAGCAGCAGCAGCAGCATGAAACACAGCAGCAGGAACATGAACGCAGCAATAGCAAGTGAACACAGCAGTGGCAGCACAGCGAGGCAGAGGCAGGAAGACCTGGCAGCTTAAATAGAGCGCCATGTTTAGGAGAATGTGTTTAGTTGGTTGTGAGAGGGACGAGGTGCGTCATGTGTTAATGTATCATTGGTGCTCCAGTTGACTGCCTGAACTAGCTCGCAGGCTTCGCCCCATGTGTGATTGAACAGGATTAGTTATTTGTAAAGCTCTACTAAATTCTTGCAAAACATTTCATTGCGAGTACCTCTCAGCTAGGAATAATAGAGTAGGACTCCTTTTTCATTTGTTTGGTCAACATAAATCAAATTGACCGGTTTTATAAAGCTGAGCCGAGGCATTCATTCAACAATATGATTTATCATCCTTCAATAGATCCATTTTGTGATAAAAGTTATGTATTAAGATATTGTGCAAAAAAGCCATGTATTAATTGAATTGCAAGAAACATGCTATTGTGGTATAGTTATGAAATGAGTGATGAGCGATATTGAGGAAGATTTGAGCCACGTTGGCCAAACGTATACTCATCCACCTCCCCTCAGGTGACGGGTTTCACTTCAGTGTGATGCAGTTTCACTCATACGTATATGGTGTGCCACACCTTTAATACCTGCGGCCTGATGTTACTCAGTGCTATGGAATCTTCTCTGTGGGGGCGAAGGAGGCTTAAACAGACTTTCTTCCTTTATATTTGTGTTACTTACAGTTTGAAGAGTTGATGGTTTGGATGGTATTAACGATGTGTTTGCTCAAAAATAAAATAACAAACTTTTACATGTGCAACAAAGAAAAGAGGCATTTACAATATTCAAAACAAATAAGCAAAACTCAAATAAAATAACAAACAACTTAGGTATTCTTTCTTCTTGATAAGGCTTATATAACTTACTAACTTAAAGGGTAGTTTAATGGTTAAACACTGTTGTCTTGCTAGCAGGTTGCCCATCATTGTCCCTTTAGAGAGGCACAGTGGGAATTGTAGTCTTTAATAGTCTGTTGACTACAGACGTCAACATTAGGTGGCCTTTCTTATCAAATGAAAATACTGGCTCTAATAATATCTTAATGCCCTGCAGGTGAACACGCAGGGTTTTTAGTAACCTTTCCTCTTGCTAACCAGAAGTTTTTCTAATGATACAAGCATTTGGTGACTGGTGCTATTTGGAGCATTCGGATACATTTTGAATTATATTCATCTCAGTATAAATCTGGCTATTGTTTTAAACTGGTTATTGTCCTACAGGGTTTTATTTGTCCTCATTCTAATCAAATGTAGAGCTAAACTGATCGTTTTTGTGTCAGATGAAAACAAGATTTGAAAAAGGTCACTTTTGATCTTATACAATTGTTATGAAGTATTTATTTGACAGTTTTTTAAAGTGTTTCTCATCAAACGTTGATTATACCAGCTTTATAGATAACCCTGGCTGGCAACTCTACTCAATTCTACAAGTTTGCTAATCAACAATTTGGCTGTTGATATAATGCTCTCTACATGAACTATTTACACACTATCTGAGATGGTTCTGTCCAAGACATACATCACTCTTTGATTCTTTATCAAGGTATTTGGTCAAATCAAATGATATATTTCACCAAATTAGCTACCTCCATGATGCAATCATATTCTAGGGTTGATTATTGCTGCTTTACAAAATATTTACAGAAGGAGGTATTTGATACATATTCATCAGTAATGTGAATATAATGATCTTCTAGAACAGTACAATAAGTTCAGAGAGTAATAATAATTAAAACTGCGGTCGCACTTGTGCGCGCAGTGATGAGCGGGCCCTCGCGTCCGTGCGCCTGTCGGGGAGGGCAGCCGGTCGTCCCGGCGTCAAGCAGACGTGCGCGAGTCCTGGGAAATTAGACGTTTCTCATTTCTATAATTTTCGCGTCCCAGACTCCCAGGTCCTCCGGCAGCGACCCGGAAACGGATGTCGAAGGAAAACAAATGTCTCTAAAGGCTCGTCGAGGATCGATTATCGAGGAGGCTGTCTGGAGGAGCCGTAACCGAGGATACACTGATTTAGAGGAGAGAGGAGTGTCTCTGGAGGAGCTATAACCGAGGGTACACTGAAGTATTCTCCTGAGACGATTTCAGCCAACACAGTGATGTTTAAAAGCGGCGTGACGCATGGCTGGACTTCTGTCAACGAAGCACAGCTCTGCAAACTGTTCCCGTTGTGATTATAAGTTATTTGAGATGATCAAATGTGCATCAGACTTTCTGCCCTTTACCGTTTGTTTACTCACTAATCACATGTCCCCTGGATGTTAGGTGATGTTACAGTGAGAACAGCTGCTGAGGTCAGTGCAGAAAGCAGAACAGTGTGTATAATATATATCGCTCAATAATAAATGTAACAGGCCTACATGTCACACTTTATTTGTAGGCTTTAGGAGATATCTACAAATAAACATTAGGGTTAGGGTTAGGGTTAGGGTTAGCGAGT